GATGTTTTTGCTGTGACGTATGTCCAAAGCCAAATGTGCCATATCCTGGATGACTGAAAATCTGCACCAGCACATTGTAGTTCACGTGGAAGTTTTTAAGATTTTCTTTGCGAATTTTGTCTTTGCTCTATGATTAACTGCAAACAAAAAAAAAACAATCGTTTCCAAACGAGCTGCCCATTTAGATGCTTTTTTTTTTTTGTTTTGTTATGGCGTTTTTGGTATATATGAAAAAAGCGACAAAAACGTTAAAAATGGGTGAATCTAACAAGGCAGGTGCTCTGAACAGCTTCGTCTTTGTTGAAAAGTTTCGTGTTTTACCCAAAAGACTGAGGCGCTGCAGCAAACTCAGTCTAATAAAAAGAGCTTCAATGCTTCTGCTGTGGCATTTTAAATCATTATGCTTCTCTTAATAGGAGGTCCAGTTCTACACAAATGACAGCTCAATTTTCTTTGGACAACTAAAAAAGTATAAAGAAGCCCCGGAACGGACTTGTAAAGGCTGATATAAATATGAAAAACACCCTTCCAGGCTTTTCGTCAGCGAGACAAAAAATATGACGGTGAAGCTGGGAGACGACACCTCATCTGGTCAAGCTCTCAGAGAGTCTGTCCAGGACTCCTCGCTTGATTTCCCCTCAGTGGACAGGAGCTGTCCCTGTCAGGGACTTGTCCTACCTCAGATCTGGCTGAAGCTGCCTGGGTTAGGACAGTGTGGGACAAAAAGCAGGGAGGGGACGCCTCCCCAGGCAAAAATAAGGAGGATAAAAACAAAGAAGATTAAAGGACTAGCCTGTCGTCCTCTGCATTTCATGACAAAGATTTAAACCGAGATCATCACAAGATGAGAAGCACTTCTGGTAAAATGGACATCGTATATTGATTATTACTTTCTGTTACTCAAATCTGCAAATGGCAAAAGTTTAAGCAAAGATGTTGCGCAAGAGTGGAGCTTATAGTATCTGCTGTAAATAAACGACTGTCAACTTCTACCACGCCCACTTTCAGCTCAACACCTGTAAGACTGACTGAGGTAGACATTTATGTGTTAAAGAAATTGTTGGTTGAGGTAGCCATCTTAAATTTAGGTCACTCCAAAAACTAATCAGCTGTGGACGTTCATTGCTTGATTACATTCTGAGAGTTTCATTAAAACGTGTTTAGTGGTTCATAAGATATTTTGCTAACAGACAAGATGAGACTAATGCCAAGGTTAAGAGCAAAGTTTAAAAAACAAATCTTTTAGCGCCTGTTAGCAGTTATGTGTGGGGCATACCGCTCAGCTCACAACACGTTTTAGCTCAATATCTATAAAACTGCTAGAGTTAAAGCCATTTTTTATTTACTAAGGTTAGCTTAGCTGTGGCAGCTTTCGTGACTGGGATTCACTCCAAAAGTTAAACCGTTTTAGATATGGATCTAATGACTGGTTCCTGTGAGTTTCATTAAAATGTGTGCACCGCATAATGAAATATTTTGCTAACAGACAGACAAATGAGCACACACGCACATATATAGGCAAAAACATTGTTGCCTTCAGTGGCAAGCGGTAAAAAGCATTCCCTAAAAGAGATAATAAAACTGCACAATTAAAAGTGAGCTTTGCCATTATTATTGGAGGATAAATAATGGCAAATTATTATTCTGTCCAGCAGAACGAATGTTCGGGGCGACGCCGCTGTTAAACGAGGGTCAGTGTCGTCCCATGGCAACGGCTGGGATGAGATGAGGCCTCCTGGGAAAGACTGAGAGCAGAGCTGCACAACGGGCCGCTTACAAAAACACTGCAAGTCTTAACACGCAGCCCATTCCAGGGAAAGAACGACAACAATCTGGTGGAAACGCTCGCAGCACACCTTCAGCGCTCGGGCTCGGCGGGTAACGCAGCACAAAGCCGGGGAAACGTCCGTACGGCAAACAGGACGTGAGCGTGATCTCTGCACACAAGGCATAAAAACGGCTCTAAACAGCAACGCTGAGTCTTTTAAAATGAGCGTTCGAGTTCAAAACAGCGTGAACTGTTAAGTTTCATACACAAAGGGAAGTTAGAGTCGCAGCTAAGGTTTATTTTTATGCTGTTTTAAAATCCTACGCTCAAGAAAATCTCCTTGGACGGGATTAAAAGCCAACACTTTCCAACAATGCACGATGATGAACAGGTCGCAAATAGATTTCATCAAATGAAACACATTATATGCAAAGCCTCCTCCAGCACTGTAGTACCCGTAGAAGTATTGACACTTTTATTATGCACACTACATCAAATGTCATGCACAGCAGCAGCAAACCCCCACCACCACCACCCCCGCTGGGGTTTCCCTGCGGTCAGTACTCTCTGTAGTCTCACAGTCCAATACGCTCAGGTGTTCACAGGCAACATGAATTTCCTGCCTGGCCGGGCCAATTATTTCCCAGAGCCGCCACAATCGTTGATTGCTCAAGACAGAGCGGGTGACACAACGGGCCCCTTCAGGTCTGAGACCGAAACACAAATCCAGACCGGACTGTGTGACGTGGAACTGGATTTGCCATTAGACGGTTTGATGCAATTACACAGAGCACATTTTGCAGCGTGCACCCTGTAACACAGTAAGGCAGCACCTCCGGCCCTCAGACCAAGCTGGCTGGCACCAGGACCCTGGGGTGGTGCAATACAGCAAGACACCCCCGCCATAGGTGAAAATCCACAAAGTAGGAACACTATATTTATTTTAGTATTTATATATTTTAAGGCTTTATAAACCATTCCCACACTCTTCAGTGTTCTAAACTCATTAACAACATAAGTATATGTACTGTACAGTACCGCACAATTTTATATGGGTACTCACCAGTGAAGATACTACAACTTGAAGGATGAGTTCAGTTCTGTGAGTTTAACAGATCGATCGTTACTTCTGACTTTGCGTTGCAAAACTATTTTTACCCCCGAGTGTCTCCGCTAGTGTTTTCTACCTCTATTGTTGTTCTTTGAATTTTAGCAGAAAGAAGCGGCCGGAAGCACTGTTGGCTTCTGGGTTGTGTAGTTCTTTTGATTTGCGTAACAGTGTAGGCTTTTTGAAAGAAAACTACAAAATGGCGGCACCTGTCCAAAGTATTTTTTTTGTTGTTGTTTGTTTGCTTTTAGTCCTATTGTTTGGATCTTGCTCCCGTTAAACTTTTTATCCAGTACCGTCCACGTGAGTAATATTAAAGTTGACAACTGCATGTCGCGTACGATCTTGCATTGAAAACCTGTGAAACGGTGAGTCCGTGAAAGTCGAACCACAAAGTATGGAGGGACTACTGTTTGAGTGACAAGTTGTGCTGCAGGCCGCACGCAGCACTTCACCCTGACCAGTTTTATTTGAACGTTTAGCAGATTTGTTAGAAGCAGACTAATATGGACATGCAGACTGATCAACGACAGGCTCCTACTTGTGGTAGGTCCTAAAGTTATGTACAGAAAAGTGTCCAAATGCTCATCAAATCCATTCATCTTCACTTATCCAAGGAACATTTGACGGAGAGATCTGAGTCCAACAGTTAATAATAATAATAATGTCATCACAATGTCAGCACTGTATGTTTCCATACAATGGCGAAATTAGTCTCTGCATTTAACCCATCCACCACCAGGTGGTGCAGTGGGCAGCTATTGAAAGCGCCCGGGGGACATTTTTGGGGATTAGACGTGCTGCCCAGAGACGCCACGTGATGTGCAGTGACTGGGGATCGAACCTGGGACTCTCGGGTCCCAAGCCGGCTGCCCTGCCTCTACACCATCTCGGCCCCTTAACAGTTACCACCTCCGGCTCATTTGGAGGGACAGCAAGGCGTCAGCTGTGGGACGGGATCTCGTCAAAGTCCTGATCCAGATGCCCAAAATCTACCTGAACCGTCTCTTTTCATTGTAGCCAAACTTGTCACCCTGTTTGTATTCGTCATCTCATCCTTTGTACCAGTACCAAAAGCTCATGACCACCAGTGAGGTTTGGAACACAGACCAGTTGATAAATGGACGGTTTTACCTCCTGGCTCTGCTCTTCCTTCACCCATCAACCTCTCACTTTGATCTGCCCCTACTAATTAACAAAAACATGGTGTAGGACATTTATGAACTCTTCCACTTAGGACAACAGATCCCGAGTCCACCCTCCAGAAGACTGGTTCCAGAGTCCATGCTGTTGGTCAATTTGTACCTTTTAACCTTTCACATAAGCTTGAGCTCCTTCTCCACCAGCAAAGTAGTTTCAGGCCAGTGGCCGGACTGCCAGAGCCTCTACCTACAACTGTCACCCAGTCTTGAAACAACCAGTCCCCACTGTGGGTGGTGGGTCCACAGGCGGGTGGACCAATCAATGTAGCTCCTGTTTCAGTTCAGGAACACAAACAAAAGTCCATTCTACCGCCGTCAGCTCACAAGTGAGATAACATCTGGAGGACAGAATGAAACCCCAGACCTATCACATCTGTTTCCATTTCCTCCTGCTCTTCAATGAGACCAACATCTGCACTAAGTTATGAAGTCCTACAGTGGAAATGGACCACTGCTATTTAAGAGCTCGAGCCCTGAAGGACCCCAATCTCATGTCAGTCAGGTGTCCAGGGGGCTGCCTGTAGATAAACGTTATGCTGACAGAAGATTGAACAGAGGACCACTGGTGACAGATGCCTCGGCAGATTATAATCGTAGCCTTGACATGAGATGTGCAAAACCACATCAGAGGTTAATCCAGCCGCAGCTTTAGGTTCCCACACCTACCAACCAGGTTGTGGTTTGAGTCCGTTTTATTCCAGGTTCCTCATGTTAAGTTGTATAAAAGCCATGAGTGTTGAGGAGCTAACAAAGAAACGTGCCTCTGCTCCTGCGCTCGTTTGGCAAACACATCACTGAGTGAACTGGAGAGCTTTAAATCCCGACAGTGAATGATTGGATCACGCCTGACGGGAACGGTAGTGTCTGACTGCTGTTTTTGTTTCGTCTGTGTCAATCAGCTCGTCTTTCCCCAGAGCCCTACCTGAGCAGGCTGGAGAGCGGGTGAGAGGAGGCGCCGCTGTTGCCGCCTCCAGCGGTGCCAGACGAGCCGCCGGCGGACTGTCGCTTCCCGGACAAAAGCTTCTCCACCGCGGCCAGGTTCCCGGTGCGCGCCGCGTCAAGAAGCTCCTGCTCCTTCCCCATGGTTAATCCCAAAGAAAAGATGTTCAGAGGAGGAGGCGCGGGGAAAAGAGGGGAAAGGGAGGTTGGTTGTAGGGAGTGAAATTCCTCTGCGACCCGCTCTTTCTCCCAGCTTCAGGTTATTCCTTCTCGCTGCTACTGAGGCGGAAAACAAACGCACCCTCCGCCGCTGGATCTGTCCGTCCGGATCCACGCTGCTGCTCGCGGGAGGGAAAAGTTTCGTTCAGCAGCACGGCACCATTGTCGAGTAAACTTCCTCTGACCAGTCTTCCGACCGTCGTCCGTCACTTCCTCGAAACTGCCCTTTCTTTCTTCATCTCCAATGAAACCCTTCAGACACACACGAATATGCCACCAACCACCGCCGCCCCGAGCTGACTTACACACAAACTGGATAGGCATAACCAAAATGGCGCCCGTTCAGAACGGCGCGATTATTCCTATCCAGTGTTTTATAGATCTACTACGAGTTCCCTTCCTGTGTCCATCACATATTTCCAAACTAAACAATGAGCGTTATCAGTCACTTATTTACTTAGATAAGATGCTTACGATAGTTTAGAGAGAGAGAAAAAGTTTTATAGATCCATAAATATTTAAAAAGACCTCGGTTTTGTCACCTGTTTAAAGTCCACAGTGGGTGTGAACAGGGACGTTTCAAAACATCTCACCCAGTCACACTAAACAAGACGTAAAAAGGCCATCCAAAATAATTGTTTTAAATGGAGTCTTTGTTTAATAACTTATGATTCTCTAAATAAATCAGGTTATTATTAATTAACAAGTAATAATATCAATAATGATAATAATAATGACAATAATAATGACCCAATCATTTCTAGAGAATATAATAACTATAATAATACATTCAACCTTTATTTATACATGTTAGTCTCACTGAGTCACAAAGACTCATTTTCAAGAGAGACCTGTTTCTAATAATAATAATAATTCTTCTAATAATAATTAGTGTAATTATATAAAATCTAGAGAAAAACATCCATCCATCTATGCACTATCTTTACCTGCTTCATGTTCTGCTAAAATGCAATATGCATGCTAAATAAGTGCTGAAAACAGCAAAAATGTACTGAAGAAGTTGAAACTGAATTGTTAGAAAATAAAGAACACAGCTAACAGGTGCAGAACAGAAGATAGAGCTGACAGATGCTAAATAATAAAAACAGTAACTAAAAGAATATATACTGTTTTTAATATTTAGCATCTGTCAGCTCTATCTTCTGTTCTGCACCTTTTAGCTTTGTTCTTTATTTTATATATATTCATTTTCAATTTCTTCTATATATTTTTATATATATATCTAAATATATCTGTATATATATATATCTATTTAGATATATATATATATATTTAT